ATAAAGCATAAGAAGTAGTCGATATTGTCCAAATCTGGCATGTTGTAATATTTATATCTGCTTCGGAAGGGTGAACAGTTGGGCAAACCCGGATGAACAGTTCGGTAAAACCGAATGATAGTATTTTACTTGTTTAAGAATCAATATATAAAATGAATAAATGATTGATTTGTTGCTGAATTAAAAAAAGTTTAAAGAAATTGGAGCTTAATAGCGAAAACAGCACTAATTATTATTGCACACAAGTTTGATTAGATGGGCAATAGATTAGTTTTAAGCTATGGAATATTTTAGGTATAGTATAGTATCTTTCTTCTGTGACAAAATACCTATATTGAATATAATCTCAATTTATTATTTGTTTTCGGATTATTATTTGTTTACGAAATATTCGTATAAAGGGACATTGTTTTATATTTTCACACCATTTTTGCAATTGCAAGTTTCCAACTCCGGGAAGTAGATTGTTGACAAATACTCGTGCCTGCTACGTTTATTTCCCTTTCTTCCTCTCCCAACTATCTATCTCTCACACATTTTCTGTGGGTACACATAATTTGCAATTTCTCACTGGCATTGTAGTTGTTTTTGTTGTTGTTAACAACACAAGTACTTGCATTGTAAATGCATGTTGCACGAGTATGACAAAAGGAAAAAAGCAAAAAACAACAACGGCAAACATTTTGCATTACATTTTCCAACAATAGAAAGAAAAACTGTAAAGAATAATTTGCAATAATTCAAAAATGGCATAAGAAAATTGCATAAAACAACGAAAGCGAAGAGTAAATGTGAAGCAGGTAAAGTAAGTGAAACTCAGTTTCCATTGTGGAAAGAAAAGAAACAACACAAACAAACAAAAAAATGGGGAAGTCCACAAAATCAAGAAGAAAAATAAAAGCAGTGAATTTTTACACGACATAATGTCATACATTTTAATTGCACTGGTGTGAGAAAGGAGGCTCATAAGAGGAGAGAGGGAAATGGAGGAAGAGACGGCGAAAGAAATAAATTCGAGTTCTACGTTTTAGCACACATATGATAAAATGGAATACTAGTGAGGCCACAGAGGGTTCTTCAGTTCGAACTCGTTAATCCTAGCTTATGTAAAAATGTAAGCAAGTTATTCTCTTAAAATCACACTCGATTTAACTTAATTATCGAAGATTATAATATGTTTACATTATAGCTTTTTTACTGGGTCAATCTTCTTTTTTGAGGATTTATCAATTGCCAATTTAAATTAACTGTAACATTCCATAACTTTGCATACACCCTATTATTATACTTATTATATAAATATATGTTCGTAGGTAGGTACAAACAAAAAATAATCGTCAATTTGTTAAAACAATTTATCTATGCTTTCAAAATTCCCCGATAAGATAGACCGCAAACAAATTTCATTCCGCCTAATTGATCCACAGTTGCTTTATTACGCCAATGACCTTGAATTTTTACGCTGAAGTAAAAGTAAACAACTTTTACAATAACGGTGTTTTCAGTTTAGTTTGGCTTTTTTGGGTCAATCATAAAATTGTTTGGTGGTATCATAAACCTGATGGGTATCTATCTGTCAGAAAAAATAAAGAAAGAGAACCCATTTTAAACAGCTGTTACTGGGGTGCTAAGCAGCTATTCTTTGTTTTCATTAGTAATAAACAAAATGAATCACAATTATTATTATCAAGTAATACCAATATAAAAAACACCACAAACCTACTAACAATTAACACCAATTCAATAAATCAAAATGATAACGAAGTGACTTTGTTGCAAACGAAGAGAAATTAAAGTATTTTGTGAATTTCAAAGAGAACGAGAGAGGCCGTACCACAAGGCCCAATCATTCTAAGGCAAATTATAAAAAACATTCAACAAGTTTTTAACAAAAAGAACTGAAATTAATAAGGTAAACAAATTAATTGTGTATAACAACAAAGGACAAACACAGTAAACAAAAATATCATAATAACATAATTCGATATTATAAATAATACAGAGAATATATTTGTTGAGAGAAAATATATAAATGAGATCATTATTCTCAAAATGAATTTGTATTGATTTACTAAGGCTTCTTTGTCAAATGGCAATACAAAAGAGTTGCCAAGTTATCATAAAAAATAACATTCTGAAAATATTTAAAAATGTATAATTTCGACAAGGGATGATCCCCAGGCCGCCCACCTGCTTCTATTGGTGGGGTTAAAGCATTAATAGAGATGAACAGGGGGAAAATACTTATTGGGAAAATAGCCGGTAAAACTGAAATCAAGGAAACAGTTAAAAACACCAGTAAAATTATATTAAAGGCCGACACCACTTTGCATATTTAGTAGAGCCTCACATAGCAAATAAGTTTTTATGGGGAATTTGTGAAAATTAAATCATACCAACTATGATTATAGTTATAATTTAATGTCCAAAAGAACTAATATGTGAGAGGACTATCCACCTCTGAATCGATTTCTACCAAATTTGCCGAGGCATTTGTGCCTTTTAAATTCGGACTTGTATTACCCATTTGGTGCACAATTAACTTGAAATCGGATAAAGATATGTATGGGAACTATATCCAAATCTGAACCTAATTATATAAAATTTGGCAAAGGTATTTTTGAGCTGTATTTGATATATTTCCCCGAATGTCGTTGTAACGGAGTGCATATTATGGCTGTGGAGAACATATATAACAAATCGGATGAACATTATATATGGTAGCTATAGCTTTATCTGAACCGATTTTCACCAAATTTGAAATACTTGTTTCTAGACTCAACTTGGTCGTAATTGCTAAATTCTATCAATTATATCTATAGTCTATCTCATTTCCTTTTGCCTGTATACAAACAAATGCACAAAGATCTATACCAAAACTTGGATCCATGCAAGCATGATTCCTAAATACTGGAACACATATTCCCAATTTACAGAAAATACGGTTTAACATTCCGACTATAACACTCAAAAAAATTCTACCAAAACTTCCCATTTTCATACCAGAAGATTGGTGCGGTTTATGGCCTGGCCGTATCTGCCAGAGAAAATAGTATGTATTACGAACTCTAAATACCAAATTTGAGATAACTTCATTGAAAATTTAGCTAAAATCATTAAAATGTCGCATATAGGGTAGGGTAGTGTTGTATGGGGGCTTTACGAAGGCGTGGATCTGCATTGGAATATTTTTGTCATAAGAGGTTGTGCCTATTACGAACTCCAAATACCAAATTTGAAACAAATCCGATGAAAAATGTGACACAAATCATAAAAATAACGAATATTTTTCAACAGACGGATATAATAAGAATTTTATGCGGATCAAGAATATATTCTGAGTAGGGGCTAAAATGTATACTTCGTGGTGTTACAAACGGAATGACAAACTTTATATGCCCTCCATATTTTGGTGGATTGTATAAAAAAGTAAATAAAAAAGAAATTAATAAAAATAAATAACAAAAAAAAATAAAAAAAAAATAAAATATAAATATAAATAAAAATAAATAGAAATATATAAAAATAAAAAATATATAAAAATAAAAAATATATAAAAATAATTTGCAAATAAATAAATGTAAATAAATAAAAATAAATGAATAAAAATAAAAATAAATAAATAAAAAATAGAACAATAGATTTTTTATTGAATTATTATTATTTTTTTTTTCTTACTAAACATATAACAAGTTATAATTTTGACGTAGCTCTAAATTTTAGAATCTGAAAATTTTGAGCTAATTTAAACATCCTGGCAAAATTTTCTCGACAAAGAGGCTGTGATTCGATTTTTAGAATTTCAAACTCCTCAACAAAACTTGCAATGTTGGTTTAGGCTTTAATAACGATGAGGCAGAAATGTTGGTATTTTTTTAGATATTTCAGCTTATTTTTATCAAACCTAAGCATTTTTATAGAAACTGTAATCAAGTTTTTTTTCCTTCAAACAGCACATATGTGCGAAAATTGTTTAATTTTTAAAATCTTAATCCCTCAGCCTGAGGTTTTCCAATTGGAAATTATTCTTTCATTCAAATATAAAGTTCGTCATTGATTCTGATTCTAATTGAGCAAAAATGGCAACACTTTGTATATTCCAATAACCAGTTTATTGGAATGTTTGATGTTTGCAGTGTGAATGAGAATACCAATTGCAAATATTTCTCAGAACTGATTAGTCACTTAGCTAAACAAACCGAAAAGCAATAGCATTGATTTTTAAAAGTTTCTGGCGACTTGTCAATGATAGAGGAACAGTATTATCAATAATGGAATGATATTTTTAAAGCCTATTTTCTTCGAAGAAATCCTAACTTAAATTTTTAATGGAAAATATTTTAATTGGTAGGGAAAAAGTAAATTTGCAAATTATTGAGGTATTTTCAGATGAAAATAATAAGATCTAACATTCAAACTGTGATTTGGCAACTCTGTTGTAGCTACCTATTAAAATCAAAGAGAATTCACAAATAAACTAACAGAAGAGAACAAATTGAAAAACTGAGTAAAATTGAATTTCGTTCCTAACTGGTTGTCATTTTTACTTTTGTTTTTGTTTTTGCTGCTATTATTCAAAAAAACAAAAACTATAAAAGAAAATCGGTAGTAGAAATGTAATCGGAATACTCTACTTACTCAACGCACTCTATTATCAGAACAAGAAAAGGAGAAGAGTAACAGTAACAAAAACAACAAGAACAATAAATAAAAACATAATTACATAATGGGGGAAAATTGAATTAGAAACGTAAGAAGACAAAAAAAAATAAATAAATGAAAACACGAAAAAATGAACTGAACATAAAGAAGAGAGAAAAAAAACACACAATTTTACACAACACATGGAAATTCAGTGTGAGGGACGGACGGATGGAGGGACGAGAGGTGAGATGAGGAGAGGAAGAAACACAACATCACACACGTCAATAAATGTTTAAAAATAATTAATATAGAAAAAAGAGGGAAAAATAGTAAGAGTAAATAGTGTGATAACATACATTTCATGTTCAGGAATAACAACAACAATAGAAATCTCTGTCGATTTTGTTGTGGTTAATAACAATTTAATTTTTTTTTTAATTTGTTGGTTAGTTTTCGTCGTTTGAATTTTTTTCGTCGTTTAAATTCTGTTTCGTTTTATTTTCATTTCTTTCATTCTTTTCGTTGAAAGTCGTTAAAGAAAAGTAAAATTTCCTTTTAATATCTTTTCTTTTTTTCTTAAAATTGGCACTTTTCTTTGCTTACATCAAATTGAAATGATTTAAATATTTTTTGTGATGAGCTCTAGGAAAGAAGAGAGAAAGAGAAAAAAAAGAACGGCAAGATAAATAAAAAATTAAATCACTTCACAAAACAAAAACACACATTTTGGGCTGAAAAGTGCAAGCCCTAATATGCAGTTTTCCAAAAAACAACCCTTCAAAACTGCAATCAACTTAATTAAGACCGGGACTTTTCAGCCAAAATAATTTTAATTTTTTTTTTTTTTTTTCAATTTTTATAAATTTCTTAAATATTTTTTCGATTCACTTGTTTGTTTGATTTGTTAATCAATCCCATTTTTTTCAAATTTTTTCCGAAGTTTTCTATTTTTATTACTAATTCAAAAAATAAATAAACACTATTTTTCTCAAACCTCGTTCAATTTGTTTAGATTCGTCGTGGTCGTTCAATTTGTTTAAATATTTGATATTTATTTATTTTTTTGGTGTGTGTTTTGTTTTTTCTAAAACAATAGAGCCGAGCAACAGAAAAAATCAAAATCATTTATTTGTTGTATTGAATATCTTTTTAATTTTTTTTGGTTGTGTGTGAGAGTGTGTTGTTGCTGTTGTTGTTTCTTTTTTTCACTCTATCAAAAAAGCTCCGCGTGCATGTTTTTTTTTCGTTACATTTTCTTTTAACAATTTTCTCGTGTTTTTTTTTTATTTGTTAAAAAAATCAAAAAATATTTAGACTAGTGAGCACACAATTAATAGTAGAGCAATAATAATAGTTAAGTGAGTGAGCGAGCAGCGGGCGGGCGGGCGAACAAACGGAGCGAGCGCAGTGTGAGTGCATGCACCACAGCACAACTGAATTGAAATTGATTTTCAAAAACAGAACGCAACTACTCTACACGACTCGAACACGAGACTGAGACTATCCCTATCGCGATGGCAATGGTTGTCGTTGGTGTTGTCTTCGTTGGCGACTACATAATACGCGCGCACATGCACACACACACAGTCATATACATTGTCAGATATTTTCATTTTCTCTTCAATTGACACACACACAGATACTCGACACTGAGTTTCAGATACGCGTTTTCATTGTTGGTATTGGTGTTGTGAGATTTCAATTTTATATTGGTGTAAGTGCATTGTTTTTTATTTGTTTTTCTTTTTGGATCAATTTCAATTTGCTTTCCCCTACTCATTCTTCTTGTTCAGCTGTGTTTCGTAATTTATACGAGAAAACATAGGCCGATGGCCACACCACATTGTAGAAGTCATGTTCGCCTCCTCTCTTTGGCCAATTGGTTGTATTACTTTTACTCTCTTCTAAGTTTTTATTTATCAAAACAATGGTTGTAGGGTTGCCAAGCGGCGTACAAAATGTGTGATTTTTTTGGGAAATCATTTCGTGATGGGGAAATCATCATTTGAGAGACTAGCCGAGCTCCTCTGTGGAATAATGGAACTTAAATAAAATAAATTGGCACCTTTAAATAGGAGAAATATTTATTTATTTAGAAATTTAATTTGTCCGCGTTAAATGGATTATTGGATTAAAAATAAAAAAATATAAAACATTTATATATTACGCTTTCCCTAAAAAAGTTGGTATGCCGACTATATGAACATATCATGCCGGCAATTGAACAGTAGTGTCAAAAACCACAATTTTATTTAATTTAAACAAGTAAATTAGTATCAGTCGGTTTTGCCGACCTCCAGCCTCGAGTTATGATTATTCAAACTGTTTTCCCTTTATGGGGGGGGGGAGTTTTCGAAGCAGTTGGACAATATTGACCAATACTGATAAAAATATTACAACGTGCCTTATCGACTATATCGTCTTTTCCAATACTTTATATAAGATATGTGAAATTTTTGGAAAATGCGGGAAAATGCGTGAGGTAACAGGTATAGCGGACCGAAGTATTCCATTTACATACTTCATCTAATACAGATAAAAATATTGATATTTGCAAAATTTGAAGGAAATCCATATCCAATTTTATGCGTAATCATAAATTCCATATTTATCTCAGGTTTTTGATTGAGGGAAAAATTTAGACATAGCAAGTTGTAAAGAATCAACGACTTTTTTCGCAAGTTATGACAGATATAAATATTGGAAATTGTGACCCTTTGTGGGTATGGTACCAGAAGGGCTTGGCAGATATCTATCATATTCACAACAGATTTTGCGTTAGCAAAAATGTTTGGATTTGCAAAATTTAAAGACAGTTGGATGCTGATTTCGCGTTTTATGAGCATTTTGTTTTTCAAAATTTTGCATCCTTTGTGGGGAAAGTAATTTTCACAACACATCTTAAGTTGGGAAAAATATTGGCATGTGTGGAATTTGTAGAGAAGCGGATTTTTATTTAGGATTTTATGATCGTTTTGGTTATTAAAAATGTTGACCCTTTGTGGGGGATTTTACAATCGTGTTAGTTATTCAAAACTTCGACCCTTTGGGGGGAGGTACCAGAAGAAATGGTCCCATCTCTACCATCTTTATAATAGATCTTGTGTTGACGGAGATATTGAGATGTACCATGTCTGAATGGAATGTTAATTTCGCGTATTATGAGCTTTATGCTGTTGCTTCAAAATGTTGATCCTTTTTGGGGGAGGTACCAGAAGGAGTTTAGAATTGGTTGAAACGTTTTTGCGACCATTGTTTTGGAAAATGTGGCTAGGTGTTCTTGCAATACCTTCATTGAAAATGGCGCTCAATTTTTTTTGTGGACTCCTTCCAGAGATTCTGGAATCTTTTTATACCCTGCGCCATCATTTGGAGGGTATTTTAAGTTTGTACTTCCCTTTGTAACAGCTCGAAATATACATTTAGGACCCCAGCATCGACCAGCATACAATGCTACGTCGAGTTGGCGATGTCCATCCATCTGTGAAAATAACTCTAGCTTCTGCTCCTGCAGATATTTTGTTTCCCGCAGAACGGTACACCCCCCCCCCCCCCCCAGCATTCGATATTTTGACGTTTTTAGCTACACTTCTCACCGGAATTATTTTAAATTTGCAATATGGTGTTCGGAGTTGGGGCAGAAAATTGCCCTGTAGATCTACGTCTTCGGTGGTGTTTGGAGTTCGTAATAGACACCACCTTTTCAGGGGGATAACTGACTGTAGAGCATAGCACCATATAAATGTAACACCATATGTTCGGCATTTTTTTAAATTAAAACGTTTTTTTAACTATTTTTTTATATTTTAGTGGAAGGTATTTATATATTTTGGTGAAGGGTATTAAAAGTTCTTCTCGGTCGAAATTAACTCTTTATACCCTACACCACATAGTGGTAAGGGTATTATGTCTTTGTGCAGCATTTGTTGGTATCATTAACAAGGAAGCAAGATAGACCCATAGTTACTTTTGAGGATCTTCATAGAATCACATTCTGAGTAGATTTATGCATGTCGGTCCGTCTGTCCGGCCGTCTGTCCATGTATTATTGTGAACAAAATGCAGATCGCATTTATTATCCGATTGAGATTAAATTTTTTAAACAATATTTGTTTGCCCTTAAGTACGAACCCTATTGAAATTGGTGATAATCGGATCAGATTTAAATGTAGCTCCTAATATATCTTCAACAGATTTTGGGTTAATTGTGTACCAAATGGAGAACATCAGTCCAAATGACCTGAATTTTGGCACATTCGTCCGAATTTAATATAGAAGCAAGTACTTAAAAATTGTTGAAAATCGGTTCAAATATAGCCATAGCTCCCATATTTATGTCTTATCCGTAATATGCATTAGACAACAATGATATTTAGTACTAGATATTTTATAGAGCTCGGAAATACATTTGCCAAATTTTATCGAGATCGGTTAAGGTTTGGATATAACTTATATATACTTAATCCGATTTATTCGGATATATTAGTCGGAAACGCACTCTTTGTGCCACCGTTAAGATTTGCCTGGTAATGAGAAAAATAAGTTATTTTGTTTTGTATTTTTTAGGAAATAACTAATTATTTTCATTCTTCTTGTAAGGCAAAATGTATTTTATTGGCATTACATTGTAATAAGTTTTTCGACTAAATGGCTCACATTTTTTGCGGCATTTTAATATAAAAATACTATCCCACTTTACAACTTCTGCACATGGCAACACTGTATTTTCTCCTCTCCGAATGCTCTCAATAACGTGGTACACAGCAACAATCATAGAGTCGGGTGGCAAGAAACTTTTTTGGCATAAACGGAAGAAAACACCAATAAATTGCATTTGAAAAACATTAGTTTGTTTTTGAAATGACTAAAATTCAGCTGCTCTTCTCCCTCCTCTACCTTCCAACACTTCCTCACTAACCAAAAATCATAAACCCCTCAAAATAGTGAGCAATAACAAATGAATATGACAACAATAGAACAGATACGAATGTAAAAGTTGACTACCACCAAAAAGGTAGGTAATCGAAAATAAAATTATAGCAAAAACAACAACTACTTGCCCAAAAATAGCAAAAACAACAGTGACACGAGAAGCAGCAGCAGCTACACACAGCAACAACAACAACACCACCATAATACATCTCAAGGACGTTTCTACTACACCAGAGTAAGGTGAGCTAAGCCGTTCGTACTAGTCGTAACCATCGTAAACATACTATCTATCGTCATAGTTGTTGGTTTTGTTGCCGCTTGCTGGTTATGATGTTGTTGTTGCTGTGGTGTCGTCGTCATCATCATCGTCATTGGTTATTATGAATAACATAATAATGTTCATCTGTTGTTGCTATCATCATCGTTTTTACTATGTTTTCCATGTGCATATTAGAATAATTACAATACAAGTAAAGAGAGGAGGAGAGAAAGAGAGTATTTCTCTTTTATAAATTTAAAATTAAAGAGCATAACAAGAGTTTCATTATGATTGCATGCCCCGCTAGCAATGTGGACTAGTTCGGCACCGTATACTCGTCGATTCTTAGGGTTACAGTAACTAGTTCCACTTAAGACCCCTCACAGTGCAAACAACTGTAAACTTTAACATGGGGATGTCATACGAGGTAACCAATTGACTCCTTTTGCATTACCTGTAGATGGTACTGTACCAGTTCCAGGTTTACAGTCATATACCAGAGACAAAAGACTAACCCCTAACTATTCAAAGTGATTCTTGTTCGTAGAGATCTCATTCAAATGTTCGTTTAACTTGTCTGTTGGTTGGTTTTTTGGTGTTGGTTTTTTATTTATGCACAACTGTCGCCTCTTCGTTTACTTGGGGACGAAAAGGTGTCAATTGGTTCCATTCGCATTACTTGGGGACACATTTGGTACTAGTACGGCTTATAACTAGTACAAGACTGACGAAATTTAGTTAATTGGAATTTTCATTGCTAGCGGGGCATAAGACGACGTCAGAAACATTGCATTATTATTTTTTATTGGATATTCTTCCTTGGTGCTTGTGCTTATGTCTGTCCGTCTGGTGTGTGTGGTGGTCTGTCAAATTGTTGTTTTTGGAATTGTTGTTTTGGTTAGTGGTAATGGGATGCGATGGGATAATAAACAGGATTTGTGGAAACACGTGGTTGTCAATGGTAACAACAGCAACAATAACAACAACAACTAAGTATGCGTCGTTCTTATCACATATTATGACTGCCACGGAACGAAGAGAATGAGAGATACTAAATTTACTCTTAAGGAAATTGAATTTGTGTGTGATAAAAATCCACAAAAAGGTTAAATATTTCAAAGATAACAATAAAATTTCCACAAGTGTTGAGGCGATTTTGTAATGGCATAGAAGTCAAAAGGAAGGATGTCCCATTTTTTATTATTTTAAATAAAAAAATCAATAGATACGTTTCTATCTCTATCATCAATATTTTCGTTTTGCTAATGTCAAAAGGAAAGGAAGGCGAATGCGATTTAGTAATTAGATAGAAATAAAATTGAAATTTTTATTTAATAAGAAACCCGATTCTAATCAAACCAGTAGGTGACCTCATTACCTATGATAAAATCGTATCTACCCAACAAAAATTTGGTAGTCCCATGTGACACTTTTCGCATTTGTTTTCGTGATTTTATTTCACTGTCAAACATTTTCAGTT